TTTGTGGCCAAGGACAGCAAGATCCTGTGCAACAACTGCACCACTCGGGAGGATTCCCCCAAGTGCAAGGGGTGCTTCAAGGCCATTGTGGCAGGTACTGCCTCCCCCTACCCCGGGCTGCCAGGGAGGAGGCCCTGAGGGAGACGCGGGCTTGCTTGTCACGGTGGGGCTAACGTTGCTGTGAGCTGCTTTGAGATTTTAGCATATATATGTACACATATACATACACGGATATATGCGTACACATATATGCTCGCACACACGCACACACTCGGAGACAAAAGAACACTGGCGACAACAGCCTGTGGCAAGAGAATGAAGTGAACAGTATGTAGCGCTTTCTCATTTGGGCGTAGTAAGTGATCGAAGCATGCTTCTTCCTCAGGGTGGGATTCTTCCTCTGGGCCAGGCAGTCCCCAAGTTAATCTCTGAGTGCATGTAGGGTGTAGAGGTGGGGGAGTGGGGAATCAGGCATTGAAGCCCCAAATAGTAATGCTGGGGTCCCCGCCCCTGAAGGAATCCCGGGTTGGCACAACTTCAAGGAGGACGTGGGTAGGTTAGTTGGAGGCATGAGGCCAGTAACTGCAGGGCCTGCATCCCTTCACCTCCAGAGGGCCTGGGAGGGGAGCCCAGTGGATGCAGCCCCCTGCAGAGCCTGTCAGTGGGGCTATCCGATTGCTTTCCCTGCAGGAGATCAAAATGTGGAGTACAAGGGGTCCGTCTGGCACAAAGACTGCTTCACCTGCAGCAACTGCAAGCAAGTCATTGGAACTGGAAGCTTCTTCCCGAAAGGGGAGAACTTCTACTGCGTGACTTGCCATGAGACCAAGTTTGCCAAGCATTGTGTGAAGTGCAACAAGGCCATCACATCTGGAGGAATCACTTACCAGGATCAGCCCTGGCATGCCGATTGCTTTGTGTGTGTTACCTGCTCTAAGAAGCTGGCTGGGCAGCGTTTCACCGCTGTGGAGGACCAGTATTACTGCGTGGATTGCTACAAGAACTTTGTGGCCAAGAAGTGTGCTGGATGCAAGAACCCCATCACTGGGTTTGGTAAAGGCTTCAGTGTGGTGGCCTATGAAGGACAATCCTGGCACGACTACTGCTTCCACTGCAAAAAATGCTCCGTGAATCTAGCCAACAAGCGATTTGTTTTCCATGAGGAGCAAGTGTATTGCCCTGACTGTGCCAAAAAGCTGTAAACTGACAGGGGCTCCTGTCCTGTAAAATGGCATTTCAGTCTTGTTCTCTGTGTCCTTATTCTCTGCCCTATACCATCTATAGGGGAAAAGTGGTCTTTTACCTCTTTAAAGTTGCTCCTTCTGTCTTTTCTCCCATTTTACAGTATTACTTAAATAAGGGCACACAGTTGATCATACTAGGATTTAGCAAAAAGCAACCCTGCAGCAAAGTTAATTTCTCTCCAGCTGCAGTTAAAAAACGAAAACTTAGATAGATTGACTCTTCTGCATGTTTCTTATAGAGCAGAAAAGTGCTAACCATTTAGCCACTTAGTGATGTAACCAAGAAGCATAAGAGATAAAGCCCCCACTGAGATGCCTTTCATGGCTCAGCTGGGACCCACTGTGTAGTCACACGACACGCAAGAGTTGCAGCGGCTGCTCCAACTCACTGTTCACCCTCTTCTGTGAGCAGAAAAGAACTTACAGACATGCATGGTTTAACTCTTTAACTCTTTAACATCAAAACTCTTACCTTCCTTCTGTTCTTTTGTGCTTTCAAATGACTAACAGGAATTTCCAGAAAATTAACATTTGAACTTAGCTGTCATTCTAAACTGACCTTTCCTATGTACTAACTTTTGATTTCCATGTGTGGCATGTTTTCTGAGCGTTCCAACTTTAAAGCATGGAACATGCAGGTGATGTGGAAAGTGTAGGCAGGTCTGAGAAAACGAGCCTGTTTCAGAGGAACATCATCACAGCGGATACTTTCGGAAGCTTAACAAAACTAATCCTGCTGTCCTTTTTATTGTTTTTAATTAATATTTTTTGTTTTCATTAATAGCAAAATATTTTATGGGTTCGGAAACTTGCATGAAAATCTTCTAGCCCCCCTCAGATGTTCCTGCAGTGTTGAAATTCATCCTATAGAAGTAACCATAAAACTCTAGAGGTGTAGCTGAGCAGGCGCCAGGGCTGTCATCAGCATGGATCTGACATTTCAAAACAGTGACTAGTTGAGTCCCTTGTAACATAGTAGTTGCCTGCTCTTTGTTCACGTGTTAATGAGGACTGTAAGTCCCTTTTCTTGTGATTCCTAGGACTTTCCTCAAGAGCTTAGCTGAATCTCTGGGGGAGTGGGGAGGCCACCATCCTCACAGGCAGAACTGGATTCCACCTACTGCTTACCTGAAATGCAGGATCACCTACTTACTGTATTCTACATTATTATATTACATAGTATAATGAGACAATATCAAAAGTAAACATGTAATGACAGTACATATTAACATTCTTGTAGGTGTGGTTATAGAAGCTGATGCCTCATTTCTACATTTTGTCATTAGCTATTATCTAACGTTTCCGTGTATCCTTACAGAAATAAAGCAGCAAATAAATAA